GAGAGATGTAATAAAAGCCATTGTCACTATAGCTGCTGTGTCTAGAATCTTATGTTAGGACAAGGCAAGAAAGAGGTGATATATAGAAAGTGCACATACTAGGAGCAGATGAATGAAATTGTAGACTATCCCGAATAGAAAAAAAAGTACCCTCAACTTCATAGAAACAAAAGTGCAGCTTGGTAACATGTTAGCTTCACTGAAGTTCCAAAGAAACATTCAGAGCCCTTAAATAACAAGGCTAATTCTATGACTTATTGCTCTAGTCAATTGAATGTTTTCACACGTAAAATTATCGGAATACAGAATGTATGTCGACTAGGTAAGAGAAAACCAACAAGTTGCAGAGGGTACCCGGTACGTCCATAGGTAGGCTGATGAGTAACTAGGTTGTCTTGATATCCAGGTTGTCATCTGTGAGTTATGGCGAAGTCATAACTTTCTCTCTCTGTGTATCTTTAGTTATGTCTGGCATGGTTGAATACAAAATTCGAATCTGCTGAGATCGTTTGGCTTTCGTAACAAAAGCGTCGGAGTGTAAATCTTAAAGAAATCATGAATTGATTGAGCTTTCATGCTTGAGTGATCTAGCTATAAATACATAGACCGTCCTTTTTAAAAACTAGCACACGAAAACAGACATGTTGCCAATTAGGGGGCCCTAGGAAAATATTGAGTTACTTTTTCTGCAAACAGCTCCGAGAAGAATGCACTCACCATATAAACAAGATTACGGTGAATAATACGCCAGGTACCAGTAGATTGACGTTGCCAATTATCCTGATACTGGCCATAAGCATAGGCTACCTCATTCCCCTTGTCTCCTTTCCCAAAGTGGGCGGCACGATAGTATGTCACTGACGTGGCCGTGATGGGTGAAAGAACATCGATCCGCTGTGTACCATAAAAATGCTGCGTGGTTACACATCCCAAGCTCGTGTCCAGCACGGATTGAATCGTTTTCAGCGGGGTCAACACGTTGAGGGGTGCTGAGTAGTTGGCTATCGCATCAGCAGTAAAGACCTTTCCAAGGGCGTCGAATCCTTGCCATCAATAGCGAAAGCATATATGGCTAGTGTATTTCGAATTGCCTCGATCGTGCCAGCATCCGTGTAGACCTCAGGCGCGTAGCTACTGGCAAGGGATGAAATCTCGATGGGAGCGATACCGCTAGTCGTGGATGCCACGGCAGAGCTTGTGAAGGCGAACGAGAGTGCGCATAAAGAGGGGAGTTTCATTTTGTGCACGGAAAAATCAAGCTAAAGTGTAGAAAGGCAAGGATGGAGCAAGGATTTTGTTTTTTTTATAATATGGGACTTCCTAATTGGTAATCCTGCATCTACCAATCTCGTTCTCGGTTGTGCTTCCCCTGAGATCCAAGATAAAATCAATCGAATATTCTCGCTTATATTGTATACGGAGCAATTGCTACTCATAAGCTAGTGTCGGTCCAAATTTGTGAACTAATTAGAACAGCGCGCAAAGCTTAGCGTCGAGATTGTCCAAAAGCCAATATGACAGGACGATATAAATCAAATTCATTATGAGAACGCTGTGATAGGACAGAAGGCCTCGCTTCGAGCATTAGATCTCAAAGTGGGGACAGCAAGGGTACCTTGTTGGCTCGACACGACGACAGCGGGCTTTTCGCCAAATCGACAATTTCCCGGGGTTAAGTCTATCGGCCGATGGCTGTGGCTGCACCAGCGAGATTAAATCGAATACAAGCGTAATCCAAATGTCTAGGCACCAGCTAGTTTGATAATGTTTTTGTTGAGTACCTCTGCTGTACCTGTGCTCCTACTCCACACCTCTATCAGCTCAGTCTTGGAAGCAACAAATCAACAGAGATATTAATTTCAACTATGTACGGAGTACTCCATGCCAATTTCCCATTATAATCCTATCAGCAGCGGGTAAATCGTATACGGGCCGAAGCGAAAAATGCCCCTCAGGGTTTGGCCCCCACATATCTGGCCCCCAAATTGCATTCGAAGCGGCCCCATAGTGAACGCGGAATGAGCTCCAAATCCATACAGCCCCACCAATTTTACTTTGAATTGTTGCTGTCATACAAAATAGACATACAGGATATATTGTAGCTTGTTCGTATAGACTAGGATTCGGAGCCCTACAAGCGGCGACAGCCCCGGTGCCATGAAGGGACATAAAGGTTTAATTGGGAAAGCATTCTCAAATGACATGATGACGAGTCTCTCAATTCTCGCACTCCTACTAACGGTGTTAAGCATCGACATTCTACTGCCTGCAACCTACACAAAGCGGCTATATTGCTCTTTGTGCAGTATGTGAACTACGCACGGGCCTTTTTGTTTATCCAGATACGCTAAGACCCACCGATTTGATATTCGACAACGATCACTATGCGGCACATAAGAAACAGCACCTACATCCTGGTGGCTTGTCTAGTATCGAGGTATCAGGTATCGAGACACAAAGCTTACCCTGGGATAAAACGAAGTATTCCATTTTTTGGTGGACATTGTCACAGTTTGGGGAACTTCAATTCCACTGAACACTCTCAGCATTAAGATATTTGAACCAAGAAACCAGTGTAAATCTCACGGGACCGAATTGGAGTCGATGAGATACCCAGAAATATTCAAACATATTTGGATTAGCAACGGCTATCAGGTCGGTAGAGAGCATCTATAAGACTTAGCACAGGGCTAAGTCAGTATGAACTTGCTAAAGTTTACCTTGGTGAGTCTAACGCACGCATACCCATACCCTCATAAAAGCGGTAGCTAATATAGGCCCGGTACTGCGGGTAGGAAAGTCGTTATACCAATAAAATAGTGCGTACGCATTAAGTAATTATAGATTTGTCGGTTAAAGGGAAGACTCTGTATTAAGAATATAATGCTCGCTTGAGTAACGCTTGTCCTGAATCATGCAAATACACCATCCCAGCCACACCAGTATATGTCCAATCGAAATGAAATCACAAAACCAATCAATATTCCCAAGAGGGTATCATGCCAGCCTAAGTCCCCTTGGAATCAATCAAAGACATCTTCCAAGAAAAATGAAAAGAGAAAAAAAAAATCAAGAGAAGATGCCTAAGGGCAGCGTCATAGCCACTTCAAAGTTGGGCACGTTGACCACTTCGACAATTTGCAAGTCACCAGCAACACTAGCAAGAATGTATGCCTCGCTGCGAGTGAGACCCTTAGTCTGCACCAACCACTGTATAAGATTTCGAGTAGCACTTCTGGTAGCCTCGTACAGGTCAGGAGCAATGCCGAGAGCACCGTATGTTCCAAGGTCGGGAAGGGGGTTTGGTATTTGGGCGCGGGGAGGAGTCTGGAATTGGGGAGCAGTCATCCAGGGCTGGTTCTTGAGGAGCTCAAAGCGGAGGGTAGCGCGAATCGGGGTTTCGATGGCGGTGCCACAGACCTCGCCGTGGCCCTGTGCAGCGTGACCGTCACCACAGCTGAAGAGGGCGCCGGCAGTTTGAACGGGGAGGAAGACGGTAGAGCCGACGCTAAGCTCCCGACAGTCCATGTTTCCGCCGGCGTTTGTGGGCGGCACGGTGGAGAGTTCTTCGTCGTTGGCTGGGGCTAGACCCATGCATCCGAGGAAGGGACGCAAGGGGATCCGCATATTTTTGAATTGGGCGAAGCCTGCTTCGCGGTTCAACTCCCAGATCTTGATCTCGGGCTCTGGGAATTCATCTGTGAGCAGACCAAAGCCTGGGATGATGGCGGACCAGCCCCAATCGGCAACCTGGAGGTCCAGAACTTCCACTTTGAGGACATCGCCGGGTTGGGCGTCGTTCATATAGATCGGACCGAAGACGGGGTTGACCCGGTTGAGATCCAATGTCTTGATGGCTGAGGCCTCGGATGACGTGTCGAGTTGGCCGTTGCTACTGTCGATAGCATCAAAAGAGACAGTCTCGCCGGAGGAGACGGTGAACTTGGGGGTGTTTTGACGAGACCACTTTTGGTGGCCACATTCTCTTCCCACATGGAAGTTACTCCATTCCTTTGGTGCCATGCCGGATGATTGAGGGTTCCTGGGTTTCTGTCAGGAGGGTTGAAGAGATACAATATATGAAATAGAAAAAATCGGACCAGAAGGGGAAGAAAAAAAATCCGCGGAATAGACGGGTGATTTTGTATCTAACTCGCTCGGGAGATCCTCTGCAGGGTTGACCGTTCTGGAAGGTGGCTAGAGTCGGATCTTATGCTTCTTTTTGCCAGCTCCACTCCGAAACTTGAGTCGCCTGCCTAAAGTAGTTTGACAGGTTTCCAACTGACTGGTCCTGTCCCCCCTGTCGGGGCCTCAGTGTTTTTAAGAGTAGATCCATTGGACTATAAAGAATTTCAAGGTTTGGTTGGATGAAAAGGGAAGAGGGAAGCGATAAGACGACCTTGTAGGGCGGGGGGGAGGTTACGGAGAACCCGATATCATTTTATACGTACTTTGTACCTCAATAGTAGTTTCCACGTATAAAGGTATATACAATATAAAAAAAATACCATATAAAATTCAAATTGCATCATTTAATTGAAAAGGGAAAGCGGAAAATCTAGATCTCCCCAAACTTCCTAAACTTCCTAAACTTCCTACATTTCGTCGATTTCTAGATTTGCTGGATTCTGTATAAATAACGCCACCATTGCATTAATCAACATTTTCTCTCTCTCTCCTCTTTTTTTTACCTCTTTTCACTTAGACTCGGACCAAGAGTTGAAAAGAAGAAATCGTGAAATCGTGAAATCGTGAAATCGTGAAAAAATGATTTGTAAAAAATCAGAAAGAAAAAAATTTAAAAAAAAAATATCCAAAATAGTCCAACACCACCTTCTTCATTGGGTAAGGAGCGAACCGTTGGTAAGCTGTGAGTGGCACAGCTGCATAACATTTTCGTGAGTGGAACTTTGGCCTGACTTTGGCCTACCTTTGCCTAACTATAGCCCTACTTGGAGTATAGTATATCTTTGTGTAGCATTGGATATATAATCTAAATCTCACGATCCCTGTCCGTCTAACATCGCTACAATACAAGTTGCATTGTCACTGTGAGGTTTGTTAGCACTACTGGTGGCAATTTCTTGTGCAATTTCATTTGCTCGTTTTCCCCGCATCGATAATTTCATCACGTGCCGAACCAGGTTCGTATCATCCACTCGATCGGTAACTCCGTCGGACACCACTAGTAATAGGTAACGGCGGTCCGTGTGCAATGTCCGTCGCGAGGTGTAGGGATCATTGGATAGGAAGTTGCCCCGAGATTCCGATCGGCTGGTAGCTGACGAGGCGGGGTCTGGCACGGAGGTGTTGTCCATGAACGTATTTACCGGGTTCTTGTACTGCAGGTCGCCCAATGCTCGAGACATATTCAAGGATCCTATCCCTTAGAAGTCAGTATCTAATTTGGAAGGTCATTCTCCTTTTTTGAACCCACCAAGACGCTCTGTACCGCTGCGGTTGTTGACTACCCCGCCTGCCTCCTCAATTCGGGTCTTTTCGCTGGGCGTTGAGGGCTTGTGAGCCTCTGTGAGACGTCGCTAGTGTGTGGCTGTTAGCATTCACCCTCAAATCCCCTCAAAATTAACTGCAGTGCGTACAATGTGATACGGGTGCTCTGTTTTCCGGTCCCGCTCGGCTAGGATAACATGTGAGTCGCCCAGATTGGAGACGACCAGCTCACCCTTGGTGAGATTAACGCAACACATTGCTACTGTCGACCCTGAGATGGCAGGCTCGGCAGATTCATGCTCGAACCTATCCAACAGCATTTTGTCTTCCTCCGCCAGTGCTGCTTTGATAGCCGCGGTCCAATCGTCTTGTTCGAACTCCGGACGCCGTCCGAGCAGGTGGTGCAGACTGTGTTTAGCATGTTCTGACACCAATTCAGAACCACTGAGGATATTGGTCAGTTCAAGACTGGGTTTAAAGGACACATTTCGAGGCTTTCCCTACTGCCCGTCATAGATTGCAAAGAATGCAACATTGTCCTTCATGTTGGATGGAAACTGATTCGGAGAAATCACTGCGCACCGATCCTCTTGATACTTCCTACCACCCTGAGACTGTCATTTGGTTATTGATAAGTACGATATGTGCGAGAGCCATGCGCCTTGACACTCACTTGACCAGCCCCGGCATCAAAGAGCGTGACTGCGTTTGAGGTAGACATTGTTTTACGGAACATCTGATCCCTCAGAGCTCTGTGAGCCACAACCATGCTTGGGCAGTTGATGTGCAAAATCAATCCCTCGTAAGGACTTAAGGACATGGGCAAGGTTCTGTCACGATATCTATAGAGGGTGATGATGCACTGACATCATGAACGCCTTCTGGTCTTGACTCATGCTAGGTTGTTTACCGATATTCAATTGGTGGCTTTCGATGGCTTCCCCGGAGTCCATTCCTTCCCCAGACAGATTTGCCAGCAATGTCTAATATTTGACTGCTGGCAATGATTCTTTTCCCCCGGCAGTTGGGGCAGCGTAGTAAATTTTATTCTTTGAGATATTATCAATATAACGAGTTTAACTGATCCCTTAGATCAATGAAATATGACTTTACCAAATAGTGTTTAAGGTTCTATTGTACAGACCCTGAATGTGCATAGATCTTCCATTACTGGCGCACGGGCCAGATTTACCGGCGAATCTGCAGGATCGTGATTCTAATCAGGAACACCCTTCTGGCCTCACTTTCCTCACTCTCAGTACCCGGAATTAGTTCAGCATGGGTTGGGTAGGTGCAGGTGTGCTTATCGCAACAGTAGGGTACTTTCTCTACCGCTACCCTCCTCGCAGCTGGGCCGAACCTTGTTCTTTTGCCTCTCCGGAACCTAAACCCGACGCGCCGATTGCCGCCACCGAAAATGAGCCTGCGCAGCGGAAGCATGGCTCACGGCCCTCGACGCCATCAATAGAGACAGAGGAAGAGGATTCCCAGAGCACACCTAAGGCTTCGGCCTCGAGCGTACCACTCCCCGCCCTTGCGGTCCCCACATTCAGCCTAGACAGCGGCGAGAGCAAGACATCGCAGCCCGCTACGATGCCGTCCATTTCACAAACCACGAATGGAACAGCAGAGAAACCATCTCTGGCAAACAGTAATCATGGCGCACCAAATTTCCAACCGCCACCGCAGCCGTCCCTCGCACCCCCTCCAAAACCACAACCGTCACCTATACCCCCGAAGGCAACAACCACCGGCGCCTCTTCCCTAATGCCTCCTCCCCCAGTGCCACGACCCCGACCAGCAACTCAAGCGAACCGCCTCACCCCCACAAGCACGCTCCAACCCCCACGGCTCAGCGGCAGCTCCCTTAGCCCGCCACCATCAGCAGCCGCCTCTCAGCGTGGCTTGGGCCCACCGAGCAGCGGCAGCCGTCTTAGCAACAGCACCCTCGCCCCGACACAAGTATCTCTGAAGAAGTCAACGCGCAAAGTGATTCTCCAGCCAGGATTCTCACCCCTCGACTGGGCTGCGCTGGCAGCGAACCCGAAGAACAATCTCCGCGGCGAAGGCCTTCCCCTAGGCCTGCTGCGGGTTACACCATCAATGCTGAAGGAGCAACACGGGCGCAAGGGTCGTGATGCCTGGACTTCGTACAACGGAAAGGTGTACAATATCTCGCCCTACGCCCCTTACCATCCAGGTGGGAAGGGTGAGCTCCTTCGAGGCGCCGGGAAGGACTCTGCACAGCTGTTTCAGGAGATTCATCCGTGGGTCAACTGGGAGGGAATACTTGGCGAGTGTCTGGTTGGAATTCTGGTTTCGGAGCATGATATCCAGACCGAGAATGCTCTAGATGCGATGGACTGATACTTATCCACTTCTTGATTGTTGTTTTACTTTACTGTAATTGTTAAGCCGGTTTTTATACAGTGTACATCTTACCCCATATAAATGAGATACCCTGCTGCTTATTATACACCAACTCGCACTGTAAAAGGTGTATATATTTGTTCTTGGCCGGATATAATGGCCTGGTCATCAGAATCCCCAGAGAGTCACATAGGTAGGTATCAAGCACCGCTAATTCAAAGCTCATCCTTCACACCATCAATACCGACCAACTCGGTCTCAAACACCAACGTCGCACCGCCGGGAATAGGTCCAATACCGCGGTCGCCGTAGCCGAACTCGGGCGGGATAGTCAGCGTGCGCTTCTCGCCAATGCACATATCAAGCAAGCCCTGGTCCCATCTGCATACAACAAACAAATGAATTAGCTTCCATGCGAATAACCAAGATAACGAGGATATTTGTAGGCGATTGCACGATTGACATCCACAAACAACCCCGGATAGCTTTCAACTCACCCCTTGATGACACGACCGGTACCCAGCTTGAAAGTCAAAGGCGAATTACGGCCGTAGCTGGAATCGAACTCGGATCCGTCGGACTGCAGGGTGCCGCGGTAGTGCATGGCGACTCCGTCGCCGTTGGTGGTCTTGCGGGTGCACTCGACGGCGTGGGTGACTTCGATGCCGAGCTCGGCGGCAGCCGCGATAGAGCCGAGAGCGGCGACGAGGATGGAGGTGAGACGCATTGTGTGTTTATGGGGTGAGTTGGAGGGGAATTGGAGAGATGGGGAGTTTGGGGATGTGGACAGATGGGCGGAGATGGGACCGAGGTTTAGCGTTGGTCTGTGCTTTAAGCTTCAAGCCCTGGAGGTTTACGTCCATGGTTGTCAATCGGGGATTTTATTGCAAAGTATCTATTGCTTATTGCCTACATTTAATCAATGCTCTCGAACTATATGAGAGAGGATATCTTGAAATGTACTACTTGGTATGCACTGAATATGCCAAAGGAAGCAGATAAATACGTAGGTGGTTGTGTAAATAGTCATATACTTCAGGGTATTTGGAAGATTTTGTGTTATTATTGACTAGGATTAGGTGGATATTCCACTGTGGTTCTATCCAAACAATTGAGATTTGATCAACTGTTGGATTCAAGGTCATCTGGGGATATCATGACATCCAATTTCTAGCCTTCGGCCATCCGCCGACGACTGCCGTGGTCCGAAAGCTATTCTAACCCTTCACCGTCTGATTCACGAATTTCTCTTCACCATTTGAAAGACCCGGGAGCATAATTTGATCAGCAGCCGCCTGCAAATCATCCTCGCCCATATCGCCATCCCAGCCGTTAGAAACAAGGTAAGCCCGGAACTTCTCATCGCGCACCCTCAAATCTTCGCCCGTCAAATCAGGCACAAAGAAGAAAGTCACCAGAATTCCAACAACGCCACAAATAGCAGCAATAATAAAAGTCCACTTATTTCCCAAGTGATCCTTAATGGGCTGAAACGCCTGCGTGCCGATAGCAGCACCGGCCTTCCCAATAGCCGCAGAAAGCCCATAGCAAGTCCCTCGCACACCGGTAGCATATGACTCAGACGAAATCAGACCGAGCATATTGCCCGGACCGAAATTGCCCGAGCTCTGCATCAGTCCGTAGAAGATGATGAAGAGAGGCACGATCTTAGTAATGCGGTCGTAGGCACAGCCGATAATCAGGCCGAAGATTAGGTATCCGCTGAAGCCAATCATCATGATGCGCTTGCGGCCAAGACGGTCACAGAGAATAGCCCCGAGGAAGACGCCCGGCAGTGCGATTGCGCCGAGGAGGAGCTGCCATTCACCTGTTTTCAGGATCGTGCCGTCGTGCACGACTGAGGAGATGATTGTACCAGAGAAGACGCCGTTAGGGAAAGTGACGAAGTCTATATATATTAGTTTCCACGCTATAGATACTGGGGAGATTTCTCACCGTAGAGGAACCAAGCACCGCAAGTCCCAATCAACGATTTCCAGTAATACCGTAGCACGAGCATGTAGGGCACGTGTTTCTTGATCGCTCCGCGTCGGTAGAGCGCTGAGTTCAGCATGCGGATACGGAAATAAAACACCGACAGCGGCCAGATGCATCCTATGCCAAAGCACACCCTCCACACGGTGCTGTAATGGGCCTGCTGGCAGGCCACGAGTACGATCAAGAAGATTGACACTGCAAATGGGCCCCCAATTGATAGGGGGAAGTTGGTTACCATGATGAATGCCGGGCCACGGTGCTTTGGGGTTAGATCGTTTGCTGCTTCCGAGGCGGAAGTTGAAGAGGCCGGATACTCGCCGCCGGCGCCTGGAGATGGTTAGTAGAGTAATAAAATTGGAATGAGGTCTTCTGGATATTCAGTTTTACTTACCGAACCCGACAATACCACGGGAAACCGTCATCATCCAGAACATGCCATTGATGGTAACACCATGGGAGGCTGTGGCAAGAATACCTCCAATAACAATCATAAGGGTTGTGAAGATGATAGCGATTTTACGACCGAGATAGTCGCATGTCAGTCTGGTAGAGTATAGTTATTAGAACCATTCCATAGCCCTAACTCTTAGTAGTGTCTTGTACGTACCCAATAACAACCTGCCCAAGGACCTCGCCGACAAGTAGAGCATTCGAAACGCGCGTGCTGACGGTAGTAGTGTACTCCTTGGGATATTCCTTTTTGAGGAGGACATTGGTCATAGTCCTATGAGATGTTCTGTGGTTAGACACAGTCGTGCATGGGAGCAATCACTTGACCCACATCAGATTGTTCTGGTATCCATCGCTGATCAGAGCGAAGCCGCTTGCAAACTATTTCATACCATGCAGCTAGTTAGTCTGTCATTGGCTAACATAAACCGCGAGTGCGGGGAAAACGAGAAATAACCTGGCATGGATAGGCCGGGATGATGCACTCACAATAGTGAAGAGGTCTGACAGACTCTGTTGCTTCAATGACCTACCCGACGAATGAGCAGCGCCAACTTGGTCGACAGTGTCACGGATCGCAGTCTTAGACTCATCGCACCCTGGGATCGCGGTTAAGTCGCGTGCTGAAGCCATTTCGACAGCCCTTGAGAGATGGGGTTGGGAAAGTTTCGGATTGTGATCCGTCAGAAAGGACTGGAGGGACCGAGGATGTCAAACACACCCTGGTAATCTGCTGCTATTTATCTCATTTTTGACCTGTTGTACAAGTTGAAGCGGAGAGTCAATCCCTGTCAGGAACCCACCCCTGTCAGGACCTGGCCCTACGGGAACGGTTAAACGTGCAACGTGCAACGTGCAAAGTGCAACGTACAACATGCGACATGCAACGCGTAATGCGCAGCTAAGAACTAAGCTAATTGCTTATCTACGGCTAGCTTCATGGTAGGGCTTAGTTTCTCTCGGATGTCATGTTGCCGAGCACGTGGGGGTTGTAGAGGTATAAGATTGGTCTTGCTAGGCCTAGCTAGATCCACTACTACTTATATTATCTATTGATTGCTACTACTTGACTGTCCTCAGTTGAATAGTTCTGAAAATTTTTCATTCATCGGCTTAAGTGAAGATATTCGCTAAAGTAACGCCGGATATGAGTATGGCTAAAACTGGCCCGGACCCTGTGGGTATCACAGATGCAGAAACGATATCTGACCATAATAGAAATTTTGGCAAAGAAGAGCGAGGACATGACGCATTATTGGGAAGAAGAACGTTCCCATATTTTTTTAAATCACTGAAGCAACAGAGATACCTCTATGCCCATTTTCCCAGCAACGCCATGAGGGCAGCTCCGGCACAGAGAAGGAAGAAGGCAATCAGCACATCGCGAATGGGAGCCTTGCGCATGGAGTGGCTGAACATGAACTCATGCGCCATCAGCTCAACGAGGGCAGTATAGATAAGAATGCCAGCGGAGATAGAGTCGAAGACACCGTTCACGATGAGTGTGGTTCGTCCGGTAGGCGGGTAGCTGTTTCGAACACCCAAGCCAATAGCAATGGCAATTGGAGTCGAGATTCCAAAGCCAAAGCCCAGGAAGTAAGGAGTGAGTCGCTTCGACTTGGGCCAGGGAACTGTAGCCAGACGAGAACCAAGACCAAGCCCTTCAAAGGTTTGATGGAAGACAAGCACAATGTAAAGGGTAGTGAACTCGGCACCTGACACGGCAAGAGTGAGACCGATAAAAACAGAGTGGAAGATGATACCGAACTCCAGGATGAAGATTGAAGTAAGCTGAGCGGCATAGTCCTCAGCAGCTTGGATGTCGTTCTCGGAGTCGCTGTTGTCGTGATGCTCACGGGTATGACCAAGGTGATCCTCCCCTGGCATGTGAATCTTGGGCTCATTGGATTCGTTGATAATAGAGTGATCATCGAGTTGGGTGTGGGAATTGCCTTCCTCGTCGTGTACATGGCCTTGGCCAAAGTGCGAGAAACGCATAACCATAAGCTCTACAAAGAACAGAACAATAATGGTCATGAGGATGATGCCCTCAACCCAGCTGTATTCAGTGATTGGGCCGGTCAAGCACTCGTTCGTAAGTGCCTCCTCTGCTGGAGCCAACAGGTGAATGAAAGCAGTGGCAATGATCACACCGGATCCGAAGTATTTGGCGACGAAAAAGGCCCACTTGGGAAATCCACTATTCTTGCTGAAGCGACGGGCAAAGACGGGGAACAGAGCACCAAACATGGAGCCAACCATGATCACAAAGATGGAAGAGATTCGCAGGCCCATCCGGCCGTCGAACTCGTTCCCGGAGTCACAAGCATCTGCGCGCTTGAGGAGAGTAGAGTAAGACTCCATCGCGGTCGATTTATGGCGAGACAAGAAGTATAGAAGAAGTGTAGAAGTGGGACGGAAAGAAGGTCTGTGGGCACCAATGAACAGCACAGAACACAAGCAGGGTAGATAATAGCGCAAGTGTCCTAATTGAGGAGAAGAATTTGTGATCTTGCTAGGATGAGAAGACCACAAACCTGTAGCGGGGGTGTGCGCGAGGCTAGTTGACCACAATCCCCAAGGTCCTCAATGGTAGCCGAGATGCGTAGTTGGTCCACTAACCACGCATGGAATTACCAGGATATACTGATAATGCCGACCTTTGAGAATACTGATTTGAACAGAAGATAGCAAGAAGGAAATAAAGGCTTCTTCTTCTTCTGGCCGTGTATGAATCGCACTGTGAAGTCGTACGGTGCAAACTGTCGATGGGTTTTCTCGTCAGAATGAGTACCCTGGGAGGAAGGCCGGAAAATTCAGCCGATAAATATAATAAATGAACGAGATCCTTCAAATGAGGGACAGGATCAAATCGAATCAGAATTTGCGGAATCTTCATTATATTAATCGCCGAGTGGCCCCAGAGGGCATCCATGGGGACCTTGGGAGCGCGAAGACGTCAAGGACAAAGTTTTGCACTCTATCAGACCAGTACCAGGTACTTCAGGACCCATACAATTGCGTGTGTGGCCGGAAGTACCCGGTACTTGAGACTAGCGCGATGAGGACCTTGGGAGTCAGTCTCCGATTGCGGTTCTGGTCATTAAGTCACGTGTAAAGGAGATAAGCCTGTCACTGTGTTCTGGATGTCGTTGTTCCATCTTTTTGATCTTGATGGAATAGGCCAGGAAGACTGGAATGATCAGAAGGGTTTTGAAGGAACGTGGTTGACAGGCCCCTTGAGAGAGAGAAAGGGAGAGTCCTTTCAGCCCTTGCACGCGTCTCGATCGCCAATCAGAGGATCGGCGGCAAAAGCGCTTGGCATGGGGTTGAGGTCATAGGGGAAGCCGTTTGACCACGCCCTTGCGCAGCACATTCGAATATGGCGCCCATTCGACGATACCTCCGCATTAGCAAATACTCAGTACTGGAATGTCGCATTTATTTAGAGTCCCCATCTGATTCACGATGGCTCTTGGACTCTCGCGATCCTGTCCTTCCGCGCGTTATCGCTGCGGTTCGGCCGTTGGTGCTTCCGAAGCTGCGTGAAGAGAATGAGAGATTGTTCATGCGCAAGAAGGGCAAGCCGGTCAAAGATGTCATTGTAGAAGGTAAAAGCCACTCGATATTCCTCCTATGACGAACCAAGTACGTTAACACATTACCTAGATGACTTCGAAGTGGCTATCTTCCTCCGCGAATCCCGTACCCGCCATTCACTCCTCACACGCAACAAGACATTCCACGGAAAGGAAAGTCAGTTTCAAGACTTGAGCATGGAGGTGAAACCAGATCATGTCTCGGGGGATACGGGTGCCAACCCGGTAAACTCGGCAGATGGCGAAATTATGATCGAGAGCGACAGTGAGGTTGATCTGGAATTGCACAAGATTCCCGAATCTACGTATGAAGTTTCTGCGGGGAATGGACGTCGATCAAGCAAGAGAAGTCGAACAACCAGGGAAGACCAGGTGCCACCCGAAGACACAACTGGAAGTGACGAAAAGAAGCTTCGGTTCAGCACCCATTATGAGAGCTTCAATATTTATGGATGGGTGTTATGTCTGTTGATTACCCGCAAGGGCGATAAAACCAGAACAGATGCTGTCGTATCCGAGTCAAATCGGCAACCTCTGATGGAAGAATGGATTTCAACTCAGGCTCAGGCATCTGTTGATGACGAGTGATCTAAGCTAGGTCGCTAGCAAGTGTTGACCTGGGCAATGCTCTATGTGGTCGACAGGGGTCCTGCGTACAGTTAAGGTTTCTCAACGTCGTTATGTGGGCATCCGTGGTGGGATGATCAATCGCAAAGAGCCCTGTGACACTGCCAGAATTATTGGTGATGTATTTTGTTCTAACCCCCTGCAAACGCTACAAGGTTGTGCTTCAATTTGTCCATGTCGCAAAAACTGTGTGAGAGACCTTGTCTCATCTCGTCATCATAGGTTAGGGGACTCGTGTTGCGCGGTACATCAACTCCGTGGTCTAGGAGGTTAGGTATTACCTATAAGAGCACAGCGCCTTCCCACTACCGGGCCGCCACAGGACTTGCACTGTGTAATGCTGTGATCGGCAGGTGGGTGTCACTGAAGATCAGGCTGGTTACACAAGTGGCGGGCTGTCATACTCTCCAGATGACTTCTTCAGGCACGGTGCTAGGTAAAAAGAGCCGCTGAGTCAAAAATGTCAGCCATGGAACCCTAGGCGCATGCAACCAGTGACATCTCGACGAGCCGCATGCCATAAGACATTGTGTGATATTGACTTTTCTACATGACTTCTGTTTACATGTCTCGGTCGCATTCATGACACTCTCCGACAACATGGACAAGGGCATGAAACTAGTCTATCTCACACGTTCCAATTTCCTCGGAGACATTTCGATTCCACCTAATTTGAAAACCTCCATGTGGTATGGGCTCTCGCAAACTCGGGCCGCAACTTCCAGAAGGCAAGCTAGAAGATTTCAAAGTGGAGCTTGACTTGAAACAGCCCGTCTCCATCTTGTCTCGTGACCCCAACAAACACCTTCTCAATGGAGAAAGATTTTAGTCCCTATGTACTAGGTTCGGGGAGACATGAGCATCCTCCTGTACCGAAATTTAATACACATCACGCATTGACTTTTTCTAATTGGCTGTATTGTGTGGCATATCGGCGTATATACTCCTCAAGCATCATAACTATTCTTTAAAATGCCTTTGGACCTCTAAATCAACAACCAATAAACAGGCTATGTGAATATCTCAAACCGATCGTGCTACGATCAGGGGCAAACCCCGATCTGTTTATAAAGCCGAACCTTGGAACTTAGGTCATAAATCTCCGACTCCTAAATCGCAACTCCACAGCTTTTATTTCCAACGGTGCGGAACGGTCAGATGGAATCCAAGTGGAGTAAACTTTGCCTAATTGGGATCGTTTATTGAAGTCTGTGGACCGCTAGTTCATGGGTAGAGTTTTCTTCCCATGTGTTTCTTTCCCTCTTTTTTTTTTTTTTTTTTTGCCACTTTTCCCACTTTTTATTTTCCCCTTTCTTGGTTCCCCGGTCCCTAGCTCAGGTACACCCGTGTGGTCGCATACAGAATTCCATGTTTGCCACTTGACACCCCACTTTGTACTTCGTGTACCTTACCTTTTGTATCAAACACGGTAAGCCAGGTAGTCAAATTATGCTGTTTCTAATATGCGGAATACTCCGTATGGAGTTCCAATTGTTCCCACAGCATTTGTAATTCCTTTCACCTGCCGCTTTGAACATCTGCGGGGTCTTACTTGCAAATCCCGAGTGGTACCGTTGTGTGTTGTATAGGGTACTTTACATACCTGCAGTTAGGGCATATGAGCATTAGCACGGTCCTTATCATATAGGGTAATAGAGTACATTTACATGGGTATCTAACAGAAGTACGGAGTACTTCGTACGCATCGCAATAATGTGTCTACCTTGATAATCTCTCTGCCTGGATTTACTATGTTGTAAATGCCGTGATCAAAAAAGGCTATGAACAGGGAACATGGCGGATGTAACGGAAAGGCATTGCATTATTTTAGGTCCCAGATAATTTCCGGGGAAGACCGTAAACATCCCGAAGCTGGGGGTTTCCTCAGGTAGGTAGTACATAGTGGTAGTCTGTACTCCGTACGGAGCATGTTATATACATTCACACATCCAGTTCACAAGATGCTCACACCACACACATCCAACAGAAATAGGTAACGGCTACCTATAGTAATCACGCCATGAACGCCACACCAGGGGTGAAGTAGATCTCCCACCGTGAAACCCAAGGTCCAGTGATGTGCACAATGCAACCACTAAGGGGATGAGGGGGAAAAGTTGGACAAGCCCCTCTCGATGCCATTTTCATTAATAGCCAATAATCATAAGGGCTGGGGTCCTACATATTGCATACAGGGATCCATCTTTCTCCAGATGTGCTACGACGCTGTCCTGCATACTTCCAAAATGATGATGTGCAATGCACAGTCCTCTGCAGGAAGACGATCCTACCTAGGGATTATCAGCCACAACTCCTATAGGCGGAGGTTAATCGGCTCTGTACTCCGTCGGGGATGGTGGTATACGCCAAACGACTCAAAAATCGGCTTTCATTTTTATTACACGTTGTTATTAGAGCCCTAAAGGGCCTAAGCGGGAGTAGTAGACAATAATAGAAAGATAAGAGGTCCCGAGTGCGGAGCGGAATATAATAATATGAAATAATAGCCGAACTGCATACAACATACAACGGAGAACTAAAAATGAAACCCGTCAGAGGTTAAAGAACTCATATATGTATTACCTTAAAGGGTTCTTTCTGTTCTTGCATGTCTCAACCCTGGCTTTATTTGGTTTGGTAGCACGGGTAAAAACCACGGTTTAGGATGGGTCCTCGATTCGAGATTTTAACCCTGCCTTTTGCCTTTTGTTTTTTGCTTTTTGCTTTTTTTATTTTTTTGCTTTTATTATTATTTTTCATCTTTTCTTTTTGGCCCCTGATACTGTACCACCCTGTCGTTATCTGGATGGCGTATATATTGTATATGTGCATATATACCTAGCTAAGTGAGCATATATGTATGATATGTCATACCAATTTGTTTAAAACGAAGCTGTGGCATGAACAGGCTTATCCTCATTCTGTAATCCCAGCATTCTGGGAACCCGGCTGTCACGCCCTTTTAGTGTGTAATCAATACGAATCGGCCATCCCGTTTGACCCTAAATCGACGGAAGCGAAAAAAGAAAGAATAGAATAATCTCCCAATGTTATTTTTATTTTTATTTTTATTTTCAGCTTCTTTTTTTAATCCACTACTTCTGTATCCTTTTTTTCTTTTATTTTTTTCCTCCCGCCAACGCTGTTCTCTCTCGGGATCTGCAAACATGCACGTGTTGTGACCTGACATCTTGTTGTTCTCGCATATTGAGCCATACAGGATTAATGTGCATAGACCTATGTATATCATATTCCAATTACAGAGTGTAGTTTGTACAACTAATAAAAAGAAATATTCAAAAAAGAAAAGAAAATAGAAAAAGTCGTTCTCACCGCATCAAGGAACCGTCCCTATGGAGCCTTGGTGGGCCCACGGGAGATTGCCCTTTACCAGTTGTCATCTCGCGTGGTTTCATGATTTACTATACATACGGAGGGGGTTTGTGAGACCGGAGCAGAAATTTAAGAGCTGCCTTAGTTAGACCATGTACCCTAGGACTTTCATCTGTACATTACTATGTATACCATGTATATAGTGAGGTAGCACGGCATATATGTTTGATTACTATGTCTCATTTTCCTCCACTCTCTTCCTCCACTAGTGGTTCACAGGAAACACAAGGCGCCACTTCAGAAGTAGTGGAGAGCTTCTAGAAAAAAAAGGGAATTTTCCATTGGATTTCCCACTTGGGGTTGCATTATTCATCCGCTACCCGTGTTAATTCGAGCAAATAAATCGCAATAAATTCCCTACGTCAGATCAGGTGGATACTCAGCCTCCTGTTCATGGCAGGGATGTTCGATGGGGATTTTAGAAACTAATTTAGTCTGTAATTAGTGACGGTTGAACGGAAAGGTTGGGGGGGGGAGCAGACTTTCATTTCTATAAGAATCCTGCTCCCGTAACCTTTTTTCTTTCCCTTCTTCTCTCCATCCACTCAACTCTACTCTACACCTTATTCTACTACACCTTATTCTACTACACCTTATTCTACTACACCTTACTAGCTTCTTGGTCTATTCCAGTCTGCTATCAACCTGAACAACTACTATCAGCTCTCAACCTTCGAACCTTCCAACCCTTCCAACCATTCACAATGCCTTCCGTCGGATCTTCTCAGTTCCCTCCATGCCCCGGTCCTCCTCCTAAGGGCCCTTTGCCTCCGCTGCCGAAATAAACAGTCCACAGTCCCCCTCTTCTCAACGAACCTGATGACACTGGCGCATTCTGGTCCACCAGATCCGCCCACGACCTGGACCCTCAATATGGATATCACGACTTCGACTTCGATCTAGTTTCGACTCTTACCTGCGATTCTTTGTTTTCGATTCGGACCTTCAACACCTAATTTCCACAATGTCCCACCCAAACAAATGACGCCCTTGCTTAAAGTCAGGCTTGAGACGGACAGCACAAAGAGCGCCAGCTCTTCCACTGTCTATTTTCGCCTCTTGGCATTCCAATTCAGCGATAACCACAGCTCAATGCGCGCGGCGGAAAACTTGTTCCCAAGTGGGCCTCGGACAATTTTCTTTTAATTCTCTTTCATTTTCCTTCTTTGCTCCCTCGCTCTTCAGCAACCTTACTCGTTCGCTATGGGAACCCAGCGCCGGCGCTACAACCCCCACGACGTGCATTAATAGCCTTTCTATTTCTTGCTCTTTGTCTCACTTCACCCTTCGGCACTTTTGATCATGCCCCCGTCTTCTGCGGGGCTTCGTTTCACCTTTTTGATCTTGACCCATCTGTGACGCGCAGATGCGGAGAAGAGTGCAGCTCCTCAGCCGCTGCACATTAATTGGACAACCAAATTTGTCTACAAACCCCCCCTGTCTTCGTACCTAGGGTCAACTGGGGCTGCCTTCCGACCGTCCCGTGGCTCATGCGTCATTGACTCGTGAACAGTGTCTTTTTTCTTTTCTTTTTCCCCTCTGCCGCTGTGACCTGTCATCCTCACTGT